ACTCACCCCTTCCGCCCACCTCCCCCCATGGCCCGCTGCACGCCTCTGGGCCCCCTGGCACAGCCAACCCCCCCAGTGCGAACCCCAAGGCCAAGCCAAGCCGGATCAGCACCGTGGTCTGATGAATGGAGAGAGTGAGCTGGGGAACAGGAAAGTCTGGGGAACCACAGGAGAGGGACCTTACACCCTCTTTGCTTCCTCGGTTTTTTCAAAAATATATATACACATAGCAATGTCCTCCTCCCCATGTCCTCCCTGCCTTGGGACCCGTCCCCTCACCCCCAGCAGTTGCCATGGGGTTTCCTTCCAGATTCGAGGATCCTTGCCACTTGAAGCCTGGACTCAGGGTGCTCCAGCGCTGGGGAGTGGTGAGGGCCTTCCAGAGATCCTCGTTCTCTTTCTCCTGTCTTCTTCTTCCCCACTTTTCCCTGGAGGTCTAGCTCTGTGGCCTCAGACCTCTGGGCCTGTGTGAGCTCCCTGTCAGCTCTGGCTGGTGGAGAAGGGCAGGTGTCCAAAGCTGTCGAGGTGAAGGCTTCCTCGGGGCTCCTCTGGCCGTGTGGGGCTAGGAGAGTGCTCTGTAGAGTTGTGGTCAAACCTCAGCTGGCTTGGCCCTCTCTCTGACCTCAGGGCCTGGCCACACACTTCCATGTGTCTTTTTGCCTGCTGGAGGACACGGACTGTCGATGCACTCGGTGGGTGGGACCCTGCTTATGTTGGCCCCACGTGAGGCAGTGCTTCCTCTCTCGAGCCAGTCTATGCCCTTTCTCCAGTAGGCCCCAGCCCAGACCTCTTCGGCTTCAGGAACTTGCCTCGCCCTGCAACGTTCTTATCCTGATCAAAGTCCAGACAGGTTTTGGGGGGGCTCAGGTCTGGGATGAGAAGGGCACTGCCCTCCCTCACCCATATTGCATGCCCCCCCATTCCCTTACACCTACCCCACCTACAACTGAAGACAATGCACTTTACAGATATCGCCCACACACACCGCGCTGGGGCAGGGCACCCAGCATCAGCCCTGGGGAGAGAGGCTCCCAAAGGGCCACCATGAGCCCAAGATGTCCTTCCTGAGGCAGAGATTGAAGCCATCAGAGCTGGGGTTGGGAGCCAGAATGCCTGAGTCCTTCTGTCCATCAGAATCTCCGCTGCCTCTCCAGCCCTTTTGCAGCCCTGTTTATTTATTATAAATATATTTTTTACAAGCCCCAGCTTCTCTTCTTGCCCCGCATATCCAGCTCCTCACTCAGCTCCTGTCTCCCTCTCCCCTCTCCACCATGGGCTACAGTACAGACAGACAGAGGGACCCTGGCTGTACGAAGGGCCAGGGCCACTGGGGCTTGGGGGCGGGGGAGGGTGACAGTGGAAGGGGCTGTATGGAGAGGAGCTGGGGTTCAGGCATTGTCTTTTTTCCTCCTTGTATATAAGAATGTATATTTGATGCCTCATAAAAGACCTTGTGCTCACCTCCTGCCTCTGCCTCCTACTTCTGCGCCCCTTCCCCACTGTGGAGCCCGTGGAGAGAGGCCTTAGCCCAGGGAGGTGATGCGCTAATGTTAGAAATTCAGGCACCTGGGTGGATGAGATGCTTTGCTTGGAGGGAGGTGGGAGTGAGGGAGGTTTTTCTATCTCATTTCATGCACAGTTTGCGTGACAGAGTGGCAAGAGTATGGGCTTTGGAGTTGATCCAGTTCACATCCTGGGGTTTTCATTCCTAGGCATGTGAATTCGGGAGAGTCACCCTCTCTGAGTCTCCGTTTCCTCAGTGTAAAACTTGGGCTGATAAGCCGTTGCCACATGGAAGTGATGATGATTCCCAGGAGTAATGGATGCCAGGGAGCCAGGATAGAGCTGAGCAAGTTAGTTCCCTTCTCTTCCTTTCATAGGATGGATGCTTCCTTCCACTCTTGGGGCATCTCCTCTCACCCTGGATGTGGCTGGCCTGGCCTGGCTTGGGAGCTTCTCCCTCATCCCCACAATGGCTGGCCACATTTCTATCCTTGAGGGTGGGAGAGTGATTTGGAAGGCACAGGGCTAGAAACATTTTAAGAGCTCTGCATATATACTTGGGATGTTAGATAACAAATAGCTGGACTCCCTTTCATTTACAGAAAAGAGGACAGGCTGAGAGAAGGGAAGAGTCTCTCCCAAGGCCACTCAGCAAGTCAGGATGGGGTTTCCTAACTTCTAGCCCCAGGGCCCTTTCCAGTCCTCCCAAACCTCTTCCCTCTGAAACGGACGTGTTTCTAGCATCACTGATTATGTCCTGGATCTTAGCCTAGCGCAGGAGAAGTAGGGTTGAGCCATGGTTCTTGGTTAAAGTCAGCAGGCTCCCCAGAAGCAGCATTCAGTCACTATTTTTGCTGCCTTCCTAGAATCTGGAATGGCCTCTAAAAGGGAATGGTTTGGATGGCCTCGCTCTTAGCAGCTCGGACCAATTATTTGTTTTCTTCCTTGTATGCATGTTTAAAGGTGTCCCAGGGAAGACAACTAACAAAAGCAGCAGCTGGGGCCACTTACACATTTGATGCTGCCTTATGGACCAGACATGAGGGTTTGAAGAGCTTAGACCCACAAGGTCCTGAATCAAGTCCAATCAACATTTTTTAGTTTTCTTCCCTGCTGGACCAAGCTGCACGATCGTTTCCCTACCTTCAGCTTGATTCTGGTCGCATTTTTCCAAAGCTCAGCTTTTAGCACTCAAATCCTGGCTCAGTGACTTGCCTGTGCTGCATTTGGCAAGTCACCTAACCCTTCAGAGCCTGGCTTTCCACCTGTAAGATGGGGATAATAACCTTGCAGGACAGTTAACAGATGCATGTGAAGTGCCTACCTCATGGCCAGACACACAGTAAGCCACCTACAGAGACCACTTATCTTTACATGGGAGGTGTTCCACAAGGTGGCCCAGCCAATCTCTGTGGTCCTAACTCTCATTCCTCACCCACACATTGGCCATCCACTTACTGTTCCCCAAAAATGCCTCTGTGTACTTTCCAAACTCAGCATTTTTCTTGTGCCTTTCCCCCCTGCCACGATAATCCCCCCAACATCCCTGATGAAGGTTTTCCCAACCCTTGCAAGATGGGCTTGAAGAACCCATCCTTCACAAAATGTGCCCTTCATCACATTCTCTGAGATCCTTCCCCACCATACCTTAAGTGGCGTGGGAGTGACACTGGTCTGAATCATCCCCATCCAGAGCATTGCCCCATATAGTGCCTGGCACAGCACAGATGGTACTAAAATTTTGTTGATCGAATGAATGAACGAACGGTTCTTTCTAAGTCTCAGGGTTAGGTATCTTTGCATTGGTTGATTTACTGATTGATGCAACCTGTGTACCAAGTTTCCGGGCCCCTCTGGGAGCTCCTCATGCTTCCTTCAACTGTTTCCTAAATTCTCCTCCTCCAGTCCTCATTGCAGTCCCAGCGCTGGGCTGTCTGTGCTCCTCACCCCCTCCACCCCTCCAGAAATGCACTGTCCAGACTGTGGAGGGGTAGTTAATCTCCTCACTTCCCCATTTCTCTGAGGACCTGAAGACAGCAAACCCATTGACTATTCTTACATCAAAGGTGCTGCTGCCAATCTCTCTGGGGATACAGATGGGGAGAGACAACACATAACAAAGAACAGAATTGCTTGAACCCGCGAGGCGGAGGTTGCAGTGAGCCGAGTGAGATCGCGCCAATGCACTCCAGCCTGGGTGACAGAGGGAGACTCTGTCTCAAAAACAAACCAACCAACAAACAAACAAACACAAAGGACAAAGGTCCTAGAATCTCAGAGTTCTTATGTTTGTTCTCCAGTGCTGTCCAGTAAGGTCTGTCTGTGATAAGCAAAATGTCCCATACCTGTGCTGTTCAATATGGTAACCACTAGCCACATGTGGCTACTGAGCACTCAAAACGTGGCTAGTGTAACTGAGGAACTGCACTTTTCATTTTATTAAATTTAAATGTAAATAAATAAGCACATGTGGGTAAGTGGCTACCACGTCAGACAGTGTAGGACAAGAGTTTCAGGAGTGGACAGACAGCCTGGTGGGGATAATGTGAAGATGATAAAGTAAGTACACGCCCAGAAGGAAGCCCTGGGTGTGTGGGAACACAGAGGAGGGGAAAACCCAACTTGGGGTGTGTGGGTGGGGTCAGGCATCGTTTTCTGGAGCCCCCCCTTTTAGTGGAGTAGTCCTGAAGGGTGAGTAGGACTTAGCCTGACAGAGAAGGGCATTTGTTAGAGGGAGCAGCGCATGAAAAGGCCTGGAGGTGTGAGCGAATGCAATGTGTTAGTAGCACAGTAAGAAAGGAATGGGAACTGGAGCTCCAGCGGTGGGCACAGCACCATGGTGTAGCGTGGAGACAGGCAGGTCTCCCCAGCTGCTCCCTGTTACTCTGTTGCCAACAGGTTTCTCAAGCTGGCCTCAGCAGCAGCTAAAGTAAGACCAGGTAACAAATTGGGCTATCTAATATTTCCACTGTAAAGTTACCACTTTCCCCATTGTAGTGGATGAGTATCTTGTGGAGAGATGAATGGAAATGTTGTTACTCTCAAACTTCCACTCACTAGTTTTAGCGTTCACTGGAACAATTATTATGGCTGGGGTTGTCAAATGGTGATTTTCAAATGCCATCATTCTTTCAATATGTTTTTTTTTTTTTCTTTTTTGAGGCAGGGTCTCATCCCATTGCCCAGTGCAGTGGTGCGATCATAGCTCACTGCAGCTTCGAACTCCTGGGTTCAAGTGATCCTCCCACCTCAACCTTCCATGTAGCTGGGACCACAGCCACACACCACCACGCCCAGCTAATTAAAAAAATTTTTATAG